ATGATTTTTCAAATATGATGGACAGTGGCTTAGCAACTTCCTTTGCCAGCTCCTTCAGGACCCGCGGATGGATTTCATCAGGACCCAGGGACTTGTGCACGTTCAGATTTTTAAGATGTCTCGAACCAAATCCTCTCCTACAGTGGGCCCAAGGTCTTCATTCTCACAGTCCCTGCAGCTGCCTTCCAAGACTTGGGTGGTGCGGTCAGAGCCTTTGCCGGTGAAGGCCGAGGCAAAGAAGTCATTCAGAACCTCAGCCTTCTCCAAATCCTGGGTAGCTAGTTCACCCGAGAGCTTCCTGAGGGGGCCTACATTATCCCTAGTCTGGTTTTTATGTGTTAGGTATTTGTAGAATCCCTTCCTGTTATCCTTAATATCCCTAGCCAAGTTTAATTCTAACTGGGCCTTAACTTTCCTAAGCTGGTCCCTAGCTTCCTGGACAACATCCCTGTATTCATCCTACGCCACCTGTCCTTGCTTCCACTTTCTGTAAGATTCTTTTTTCATTTGAATTTTTCTCAGCAGCTCCTTATCCATCCAAGGAGGTCTCCTGGCCCTCCTGCTGCACTTCCTTCTAGTTGGGATGCAACACTCCTGAGCTTGTAGCTGGGAGTAGCTTATGATGTCAGATTGTATTAAAATCAGAAAGTGTGCTTGGACAGTGTTTTACTATTTCACTGTTAGACCAAGTTCAAATTCTACTGAAAATTTCTATGGGCTTTGCACAGAAACACAAAGGGGTTTGGGGCTATTTGTAAGAATAGTGACTATGCTTTTTATATTTGATTTATGGCCATGCCATAAGCATTCCTAAGCGTCCTGTCTTTTGAACAGAGAGAGGCTGGTGCCTCTGAAAACCGGAAAATAATTTGCCTAGCACTGTGACAAAGAAGCAATCAATACACTCCAGATTTTACTTTGTAAGTCAGGTGATTTACCAGCTTCAGTCAGAAAAACCTAATGACCCCTTTTTTCTATGAAACAATATCTTGCTCTGTTACAAAACAAGTAACGAAACATTCACTATTTGATTGAAATACTGAAGTTACATTTATCGGGGGGGACGGGAGGAGGGGGGAATCAATTAAACAGGATAAATCCAACAATGAAATTACTTTTATTTTTTAATCTCTTTTTGTCTTTTAATTACATGGCTATATTTAAATAAATGTCTGGATAGAGTCATAACAATATTATTCTGTAGAGCGTTCAGATGTTTCAGGTTTCATCTTCAATTAATTCATGCAACTTAAATTATCATGTGTCAAAGAATTTACCAGCATCTTTCTCAAAAACAGAACTTGCTCTTCTGAAAGGGCTGGAGGGATAGTCAGCTCTAATCTGAGGTCACTAAAGACAGTACAAAAAGTCATCCCACTTACTGACATTTCAAAGAGCATTAAACCAAACCTGTAAGAATGGCATCTATGTGTCCACAGGAATAAGCAAGAAATGCATACTGTATTTTCTGGAGGTAGCAGCAAGGTACAGAATATTACTTATCATGTTTCACTTTTTTTTTTTTTTTAATGGTGGCAAAATGACATAGCATTTATCCTAAAATAATTAGGCAAAACCAAATGAGTTCTCTTAAAGTTCAAGACATTTAAATCAAAGAGGAGCAACCGTGTCTCTATTTTAATCTCATTTCCTCTACCCAGGATATCACATTCAGCACTATGCTTTATTCTTTCTGGTTCATGTTTTGACCACCTGTTTGTTTGTTTAAACAGAGCAATCACAATATGATTGCAGAATTCCCCTTTCAAATTCTATATTTGATTCTGCCCAGGAAGTTTATCAAATATCAGGTTCTGGAGAAATCAGACTTTCTGAAAACAAAGTGAAAGAGTGACTACATTTCAGAGATACATGAGGTCAGTGAACATTCTTGTGCTCACAAATTCCTTTTCCATCCTCTGTTCATTTTTAACCCCTGAAGTATAACGCATGAATTATCCTATTGCATACATCAACCACTTGATTGTTTTACTAAAACTCTCATTGCTGTGGCTTTCCTTTAGGCTGCCAGGAAAAGTTAAACAGAGAGGCTGATTAGTTCCTTTAAGTTCTTCCAGACAAACAAACTACAAAGGAAGTTTACAGTACCCAGGGCCATTCATGCAAAAATAAGGCAGAGGCTCTTTACAGTAACAACACACATCAGAGCACTTGAAGGTGCTCAGTCAAGAGGAAAAGCTGATGATGATTCAGCAGTCTGTCAAATAGAGAGCAGAAATGTTCACGCTTGAGAATCTTTAGTTAATGACATAATTGCTAGAATACTTCTTAAGAAAACTCTGCTTAAATAAACCCTTTTTTTTTTTGTTTCATAGATCGATGGTAATTTTTTAGTAATAATTCATGAAAATCATTACTTTTTTTTCCTTAACAAAATCTTGGATAACACAGACACAGATACTGGTTACATAAATATGTGCTTATGTGTTCCCCTACAAAACTGCCTTCACAACACAGCAGACATACAGCAGATCTCCAAATCAAGCCTGGCCTTGCGAGCAGTACGCTAACCCCTGGGAGCATGCTGCAGGCAAGGGCTACGGCTACAGCTCCAGCCCCATGCCACTGCACAGGTGTCTGAGTCCAGGTACCAGAATTAAGAACAGAAATTGCCTTTCTTGTATCTTTAAAAACCACAAAGGCAGCTTGGAAGAGTGGCTTTAACAAATTGCATCCTCCCACCACCCCACAGCAAAAGGCTCTGAGGACAACAGATAAGGGAAATAAAGGTAAAATAAGAAATGGAAAATGGGTAAAAGGATTCTGGTATAGACTGAGAAGTGTGCAGGAGGAAACAATGCTATCAGATTTCAAGATTGGCAGGGATATTGGAAGCCTGAATGAAATGTTGGCAAATTAGCTCCTGGCATTAGTAGCTCTGCTGTCTCCATTCTAGGACTTTACCTCAGTTTCTCTCAAAAATACTAGCACAGCTTTAAGACATGTTAAAATGAAAGAAAAAGTGACATGAACTTGATAAAAATTTTATGGCATTTGTCGATACACCATGTTGTTCTAGGTAAAATCCAATCACAGCCCTAGGTCACTGCTTGGATTAGACTGAACCAGGAGGATCAGTGGAATTATTGCAGGCCTGACGCAATTGGACAAGCCTGATGGTGATATGAACTGTGACATCCGTTCATTTCGGCTCCAATTTCAAAAGCCCCTGAAACTGTAGCCAATTAGCTATTTTATGTATTTTAAAAGTCACAATCACCTCTGATTTGCATCAAACATATAAATACACCTCCTTTTTGCACATACAGGGCACATAATGAGAAAGAACTAAAAATCTGGAAAGCAGAGAGTCATCGTATTTATTCTTTACCAGATTCTCTTCATTCACTGCCTCTTCCACTGATGCTCAGTATGACCTTTCATAACTGCACCAGTGCTTGTACTTCACCCCATACTCTCCCTATGCCCCTGCTACTTCTGGAGCTGATGTAATCTTTGTATAGTCACAGTTCAGATGTTTCAAACCCTTATTTATAAGGTATGTATGAAGACTGAAAAGAAATTATCTCTTTTAGTACAAAGATACTAATTAAGCTGAGTTTCTTTATTTCAAATGGCCCTGTTATGAGAAAATCTTGATTTGCCAAGAAAGCAGCAAAAATGACAAATCACATGTGGTATATAGAGTACTAGAATTGTCATCTATATGGGTTTATATAGGATTGCTAGGATAAAATCCAGACACTTCTCTGTAAAGTTGCAAAGGCACGTTACGTATGATCAAGGCCTATTTTCTTTCCCCCGGTACACCAAGGTTTATTATGAGAAAAAGAGTAATGTCCCAATCATCATATCTCCCCCTCCACCCAATTTCTCATTGCTTTTCCCTTTCATATTCCCCTACATATCCCCTGTAATCTATTATGTTATAAACTGGTTTTATTTAATTTTTCTTGTATTACTTAATCAGCTTGGGAGGAAGTCAGGAAAGCAGACTCTAACAGAGACTGCATTAAACCAAATCTGTCTTCAAATTTTCTGCTTTTAACTCTTCTTACCAAACACATTTTCCCTTCTGTCCTGATTGTACAAGGTGATACACTGTTGGGAGCACCTTCTACTTTCTCTCCCATGTAAAGCAATGATAACTATATATTATATATGCACTTGCCCACACACATACATAAACATAAAATCATATGTATAGCTCTATTATATGTAATAATATTTGCATCCTTTCTGTCTTATAACTGAGGTTGGTCTCTAGTGAGTCCTTAAACTTCATGGAGGTAGACATCCTAATAATAATCATCACCATGTCCTGGTAGATCTTACTTGGTTGCATGTTACTTCACATAACAAAATGAAAATCATCTATAAACTATTTGAGAGGTTGATTTCTGTTCAGCTGAATCAATCCCCTGTAAGATGATAAATTGTAAAGGCTCTTCTGCCTTTAAACCATTAAACCTGATTCATCAGTTTTTATTAGCACAGTTGTGTAAAGCTCTCCTGCTTAGCAACAAAAATCACCTCAGTTTCCTGTAAGAGCATTTCTAACTTGAATGAATCTGCAGAAAACTGCAAATAAGGTGCATATCAGCAAAAAAAAAAAAAAAAAAAAAAAATCTAAATGCTATTATATACTATAAGGTAAAAATCACCACTTTACAAAGGAATAAGGAATCCTGCTGGCAGTCTTCAAGGTCTTCCTTTAACAAATTATAAGTGCCTCAATAATTAAGCCCAGAAAGATGATCTTTACTTTTCTACCTCTGATTTATGCCTTACATGACACACAGATATTTCTAAGTTCAGAATACAGCAACTTACTTGTCCTTTCACAAGCAAAAACTTCTGCCAGAGTAGGAATAAGCCTAGAGAGAAAGGCAGCTCTCCTAATCTGCTTAACCAAAAATAAACTGGCAAAATGACATTCACAGACATTGCCAATGACAAATCACTTGCAGACCAAGGCAGGATGCATTTTTTTAAAGTATGCACTAAATTACACCTACTTGTTGTCGAATTTCTTCTTCCATCTTAACTGGGGATCCCAACTCTGCAACTTGTTTGACACCTTCACTAGCATACCCTCCATACTCCCAAAGTATGTAGTTTTTTGAGTGAGAACTACCAATGATAGCAGACCAGTGGTTGGTGCGTCCTATCAGGGAGAGAGGGGAATAAAATAAAATTAATAATCCAAACAACTTCAAAGCACAATTCCTAATTTGTTACTCAAGTGCAAGGTTTGAAGTGCCCAGTCTTCACCAGCACCAAGTTTCTGCATGCTGCCAGTTCCCACTACATCAATACACCATATCTTTAGAGTAATAAGAACAAGACAATGAACTACAGAAATACAGTGTAAAATGTCAGTAATTACTGGATATAACAACACGGGCAGCAATGGTGAGAAAGATTGTATTCCAGCTAACAAAGCAGCCTCCCAGATATCTTTTCTCTGCCAAAGACTTCAATTCAGGAAGTTTAAGTAATTTTAACTTTCCATGTAAAATATCTTTTGAGGGATGGAACTTGCAAGGGAAGACTTCAGTGGTCACCCAAAAGTTAACAGCAAGTTGTTTCCATTGGTAGGGGTGCTCATTAATTTAGGAAAAGAGCAAAGAAGTGAATTTTGGTAGGTCTATTTTCACTGAGTTTGCTTGTTCAAATTTCTCAGTGTAAGAGTTGTAAAGCTAGGCAAAGGATTCCTGGTTTGTTTCTTGTCTTGCTGAACAGAAAAAGAATAAAATGTCAAGGTTTAAAGAGAAAAATCTTATAGAAGTCTGATCGAATTGAAAAGAGAGTCAAGCAGAAATAAGGAGTCACACAAGTCCCACAGTCCTGGAAACAAAATTGAACTCACTTAAGTGTCAAATAACTCTGCAAAGATATTGGGAAAAAGAATGCTTAAAGGAAAAGGATGAGAAAATTAACTGCTCATATAAGCAGACAGTCTGGTAACAATGCAAAGACTCGGAGATGAGTGAGACAGAATGATGGAGTGAGATAATATTTAACTTTTTTCTTTTCAATGCAAAATGTAGAGAATAGCAGCAAAACCAGCTGAAAATTAGATGTCCTGGGTTTAGCAGTGGCAGTCATTTTTCTCGGTAGCTGGCGCAGTGCTGTGTTTTGACTTTCAGCTGGGAACAGAGCTGAAAAACAATGATGTTTTGGTTTGGCCAAGGACTTTGTGGGCCTCATGCTCTGCCAGGGATGAGGGGAGGCGGGAGGAAGCAGAGACAGGACACCTGACCCAAACTGACCAAAAAGGTATTCCATACCACAGCACGTCATGCCCAGGATGTAACTGGGAGTTAGCCGGAAGGGCTGGGTGGACTGCAGGTTTGGAGGAGGTATGGGTTGGTGCTTGATCGGGCTGGGGGGGGCAAGTTATCGGTCGCCTGGTGATGGGGTGTTGTATTCTCTTCCCTTGTTATTTTCTTTATCATTACTATTATTGGTGGTAGCAGTAGTGATTTGTGTTATACCTTAGTTACTAAACTGTCCTTATCTCAACCCGTGGGAGTTGCATTCTTTCTGATACTCCTCTCCATCCCTCCAAGAGTAGGGGGAGGGCAAGAACTGGGGGGGGAGTGAGTGAAAGCTGTCTGGTTGGGTTCAAACCACGACACTAGAATAAATGAATGAAAAATTAATAATGAAGTAAATAAGAGGAATGCAAATTTAAGAAGTAAAAGGTGGGTCAATGACATTGAAAAAGACAGTGTAGAGAATTGAATAGATATAGTCAGATTCAGGAACCTAACCACAGGAGAACAGAAAATAGATTAGAAATAAAAAATGAAAACCAATGGTAGGGGAAAAAAGAAAGCTAAAAAAGCATGGCAAGCAGAACAGATTGATAAGGGAGATGGCCTAGCAACACAGCAGAGCCTCTATCATTTCCTTAACGCTAAATTTGTACCAAAGTACACTTACTGAGCCCTGAATTATAGCCAGGCTTGATGTTTTCAGAATCAATTAAAGCTAAGCTGTACTTGAGCCCCATATGGAGGGCAAAAACCAAAATCATACCCAAAATAACTAAACCTCCACTCCCCCACAGGTAATAGTTCAGGAGACAACAGTGTCAATCAATGGTTTCCTAATCTAAGACTTAGTAGTTCCTTAAATATATACTGGCACTTTGTCAAACGAGAGATACTGTCATTCAGGTCTAGTGATGGGACCACCAGTTTTGCCTTCTTCCTAGCACACAGTTCTAACGATCTCACAAGTCATAGACAACAGCTTTCCCTGAAAGACTGTGACACTTAAGCTTACTGAAGGGGAAGAATTCACACAGTCCCTGCAAAAGAAAAATGCAGCACTACAGAGAGGAACCAGAGTGCCTTTAAGTCTTCAGTAATAATGATAATGAATTGTTCCATGGGCTCCAAAGCTTCTCTCCCTCTCTATCTTGAACAGGACAAGAAAATTTGAACTTTTTGCAATCAGAGCCTGGTCTCTTCCACCAAACACCTCTCCCTGAAGATATGGGCTCTGTAGAGCAAAACTGTTTCAAGAATTAGCTTCTGAACCCTTTCTATAGCTGTGCTAGATCTCTCTCCATTCAGTCTGCACACTCAGAACAAGACTGTGTTGCAGCAGTTTCATTCTAAGCAATGTTTCATAGACACATCTGATAACTCTGAAAAAGTCTTTTAAATTTAATGGAACAGAGGTATTTTAATTGCAATAGTATAATAAATGTGAAATTATTGAAATTATTGAGGACAACCTCAGAATAGTTTCCAAGAATTAAAAGGGTTGTGCTGTACATTGCAGGAATGTTTCTGTGTAATAGTAAAAGAAAATACTTCATTTGGCAAAAGCAGTTCTTTGGAGAAAAGCTAAGCAATGGAGTACCTATTGTTCAGGGATTTTTAAAGCAAATCAAAAGATAAATAAAATGTGCAAAGTATAATGACCTGCTTTCTATTTCACCCATACTGATATATATAGAATTTTTAATGTGATGCATTGGCAAATAATTAGTGATTTAACAGGCCATCATGAATAACTCTTTATTTTAACGTAATTACTCCACAAAATCAACATTTTAAAGAATAACATCAATGGCTAGTTTTCATTATTAACATCATTAGATTTGGATGAGATCTTTTTTGTGACTCAGAAATTTCAACATAAAATCTTACCAGCTGTTCTTACTGGGCTTAAACCTGTTAGCATTACATGCTTTTCATTTTGCCCCCCCCCCCTTTCTTTTTAACATTAATATTATTCACGACTTTCTCAGTGGGGAGAGACAGTCTAAAGAGTCCAATATTGTGGCAAACTATTACAACTTGCTTACTTTCATTCATGCACCCATACTCTTTATGTGCTTACTGACTTAGTTTTAAAAGAAAAGGCCATTTACCCCAATATTACATCATTAAGTCATAGTAATTTCACAGTTTTCCATCATTTTCTCATACACTATTTCTAACCACCAGCTGAATCCATGCAAATAATGCGGATAATATTGCACTCAGCAGATATACAAATAATGCAGCGACCTAAAAGGGCATTCCTGCAATTATTGGGCTTGCTTATTCATCTCCCATGTATTATGCTGACAAATAATATTTGAACAATGCTGGATTCAACTTAAAATTATGAGACTCAACATAAGCAATACTTCTTAGGCTGTTAAGACCCTGAGATGACTAACACAAAAACTGTATTTGAGTTATAATTGACATATGAAGTCTATATAAGTATCAGCCACAGACAACAGAACAAAGTTTAAAGACCAGTAAAATGAGACTCATGTTCTCAAATTGTTTCCTAACCCTTATTACCACAGACTGTGGAGTCAGTTATGAAGGAACAAATGCATAATACACGATTTTGTAACTTTAGCTCTTTACAGTTACTTGGGTTACTGCAACAAGAATACTGATTCTGTAGTTCAGAAACTTAAAAAAAAACAGGCAAAGCTCAGAATCCATATTTTATTTGTCTATTAAACTGACAAAGAAGACGATATTATAAAGGTTTATATAGCTAATTAGTGTCCTTGGGCAGCAAGATTCAAGGCTCACCAAAACTAACTAGAATCTTTCTAAAAGACTTTGAAGGAAAACATAGTGGTTAGATTGGCATGGTTGTAATATCAAAATGTCAGTGTGCTGTCCATCCATGGTGGCCTTTTTCTTAAAATTTCATTTCCTAACTGTAGATTATAAGCCAAAAAAAGTAACTTTTCCACCACAAAGAAATCTTGAAATTGTGATCTCATACATGCCTCCACTCAAATTATCAGACAAATCAACAGAATTTATTTTTAACAAATAACATTCACAAAAAAGATTCACGGATTTTCAATACTGAATGTTTTATATATATATTCCATATATCTCATAATTTGCACTGATGAGCTGTAAATAAGTAATGTGTCATACAGCAGGCTTCAACCCTCTTCACAGTCCCTATATGGTACAACAATAGCAAAAGAATAATACTCACGTGGAAAATCTTTGGGATGTGTTTTTTCTGACCAGTTTCCATAAAAAGTTAGCCTGTATTTGGCTGTTCCACAGGCACAACAATCTAAAATAGGTTTGTCAGTTACACCTTCTGAGGCTGAGTCTGAAAAAGCAGCAACATACCCATTGAAAAGGGTTACACTCAAACTCAGTAGATGACCACAATGTTGACATAATAAATGCTACAGGAAATAAATGTGATTCCAACACATCACCTTTTTTGTTTATTTTTAAGTTGGGCTACACTAGCTTAAACTTGAACCCTGAAGTACCTGGATCTTACAAATAAGTGGATGTAATAATTGAAATCTGCATTTTTTAATAAGAAGGCACTACTAATCCAGTCATCCTAAATTTGAAACAGATTTGTTTCTAGTTCTTATCTGATATGGAAAAAAACTCAGTTGGTCTAAAAACACAATAGGCTTTAATTTTCTGGACTGCCAAAGCACATAAATAACACAAATTTATTTTCAAAGCAATAACCAACTGCAATTCTTAGGTTTAGGAAAGGATGGAATAGCCCAGGATTCAATAAACTAAGCGCCCCGGAAACAAATGGGTTTCATATGAAGACCAGATAAAAAGTTGCAAGTATCACATTTAGGGGCAGACGAGGAAAACTGTAGGAGGAGCAGTATATGTGATAAGGAAGAACGTAATTAAACAGAAGATCCCAAAATAGAACCTGGACTGTTCAAGGTCTAAAACTTTTAGTTGGAAATAATGAGTTAAGAGAAATATGTACAACACAACAAGGAGGTCAGAAAGATGTTTTACTTTACCCTACCTTGTTCACAAATTTTTTTGGTGAGAGAACCCTCATCTTGAAAATAAATTATGCGCTTCTGCACAATACTGGCCCTATAAGGAGAGAGAGAAAAAACAAAGAAAGGGGAAAAAAAGAAAGCTTTAAATACATTTATTCCTTAAAGGAAGGAGAAAATGCATGATAAATAAGCAAAAGGACAGAACTGGACTGCTAAGACCTAGCCATATTTCCATCTTCTAACAACACATATACATACAGGACTACAGATAGGATATTTTTAATTCAAACTGAATTTGAATTTCATCACATTTTCAGAACCTTAGAATGTTATTACCTTCAGAGAAGTGATCACAGTCATAGGGTGAGGCTCTCTGCTCTTGAAATGCATGACAGTCAACTGAATATGCAATATTTCAATCAAATCATATTGAAATACTAAAACTGTATTCAATTTCAGAAACAACAGTACAGCTAAAGCAAGCAGCTGTTTGTAGGAAATTACATGGCACTGTGAAGAGACAAGTACTTTTGATATATGACAGTAATTCAGCGCAAATATCACGTAACACAGAAAAAGAGGTAGCATAAGATAAGGTCTTTAAAAGCAATTCAAAGGTTCCAGAAGACATGCCACTTTCAAGTAATTAAATGCAGAATAATTTATTAAGGCTTATAGTTAAAAAAAAAAAGTGAGTTTGTGAGCCTCAGAGGGGGGAGGGGAAGGAGGCTGAACCTGAAAATGATCCAGGCAAAACCATGCAGGTTTATTTTTCACAGCTGGAATGGTACAGATGAAATTTGGCTGAGGTTTAGCCTCCCATCTTAGAGAACATAAACTGAATTTTGTATCAAAGATCTTCAAGTCAGCAAAGCACCCAACCCAAGTTCTCCTTAATGATTAGGGTCATGTAACCACCATATGGTAAATATCGAAATCAATTGGAAAATAGGTTCAAATGGCTCGGGTGACCCCTTCCAGTACTAATCAAATCAACTGTATTCTTTGACTATTTTTTAACTATAAAAATTTAATTTGCATGTAAACTTCTATCTTCTTTCTATAAGAAAACAGAATTTTGCTAAAGTCAAAGACATTCTTTACACAGGTTTTTCTGAGGAGAAGCTTCTTCAGGAGCTGGCATTCTGTGCTTATCAGTGACGAAGCACATTCTTCCAGCAATGTGTTGTACCATCACTCCTTTTTAAAACTCTACATGGCAAGGGCCAGATTCTTGTCTTAGCTTAACCTTGCAGTCAAATATTTATGTTGTGATAACTTGAACTGCTCCTCACTCATACTAACTGAAGTCAGAAAAAAAGTGTCATGTGGGGTGTCACATGGACTCACCACTACCCTGCTGCTCTCACAGTCAATGTTCAACAACCCAACGTGTGCCGTCACTCACCTCCACAGGGAGGGCTCCCCCTCAACCAGCTCCTGATCCCAGGGAGAGCACACAGGTGCAGGAGCTCTGCTTTGAGGAGCAGCAGCTCAGAATGGCTGCCCCAGGAACTCCTTCATATTCTGGGCCAGTCTGACCAGTGAGCAACTATGGTCACGTACCCCATGGGCTCAGGACCTGCTTCCTGCCTCTGCACCACCAGCGCCACCGGGTGGATGGGACAAGAGGTGCACATGGGTGAGTTTTCCCGGGAGCCTGTCTCAGGGGAAGATTTAGTGGGATTTGGCCAAGGCTTCGGGTGGGGCTTTAGCCAGGGCACATGCACCTGCCACCCCTACCAACAAGTACAGAAGATGATGAGCATGGCCAGACTAGAGCTACATCCAGCCCAGAGTCTATACCCAAAAAAATCTTTCAGGTTTTTAGAAAACTGACTGAGAACTTGGCAATTGTCCCACTCCAGTTACCAAAATTAACATGCAATTGTACTGTGCTTTCTTTGCCAAGGTACAAGGCTAGAGTAGGAGCAGAAGGAATCCTTTGTTTCACATTGTAAAGCACCTGGGAGAATATGTGGGTTTTGTAAACTTCTCAAAGCTAGACCAAACCTGAAAGGGTGCACAAACTACAGCTCGCTCCCATCCATAGTAGTGCTGGCAACTCCTAGAGGAAGATGTAGTAAATGACAACACAGGCCACCAACCAACACTGTAAAAAACTGTGAAACAGGGAAGAGCAAGACTGATGTTTGCAAAAAGCAAAGACATGATCTGCCAGTATTTGGTGAAGGGCAACTCCTAGGTCTCATCTTTATAAGGCAGTGTTTACACTAGGGATAAATATGAGCCTGTAGTAAATAATAGAAAGTAAATGAAACCTATCTGTCTTTCATATTAACATGAGAACTATCATGAAGCAGTTTACACTGCCAGAAGAGACCGATCAAGTATGTGAGAAGCAGAATGAAAGATTTCTGAGAAATCTTTTTCAAGGTTTCCAGCAGGAAACAAGGAGAAAAATAAGCAAACAAAGCCACTAAAAGAACTGTTGGCAAGAACATGAGCCCAATGGCCAGCCTGTGGCACGCTACCTTAGTTTTTCCAGTCTTTGCATTGCAAACCAAAGACAACTTTAAAGACTTTCTGTGTGCTACACTGCAATTGAAAACCAATACTTGCATACAGACTCAGTGAAACACATACTATTTTTTATACACCATCAATCAGGTTTTGCAAACACTGTAGTATGCAACTGGAAAATCATGTATGATGATTAATAAAATGCAAAGTAAGAGCAATCTGAGCTGCAATGTATATGCATTGCCACAACTCACACATTATGAAGATGCTTTAATTTCTCATACAGCGGCCAGTTACCAGCAGCCATCCTCCAAGACTGACAGTAGGGGCAATAGCATCTTCATTAATGTCCTGGATGAGGGGGTAGAGTGCAACCTCAACAAGTTTGCAAAGGATATTGAGGGAACAGTTGACATGCTGGAGGGTAAGGCTACAACTCAGGCTGATTTCCAACAGATTTAAAAAACGGATTGGCATGAACCCCATGAAAAGTCAAAGTCTTGCACACAGGGTGGAATAATGCAGTTAGAACAGTACGGTATGGGCACCTGCTAGCCAGAGAGCAGCTTTACAGAAAACACCTTGGGGGTTCTGGTGGACAAGCTGACCATGAGTCAGCAGAATGCCATAGCTGCTGGGTCAGGAGCCACCAGCCTCCTGGGGAGGTGGGGGGAGTATCAGCAAAAGCTTAGTAACCTGGGAGAGGAATGGGATTTCTTCCCCTCCATTTGATAATTGTGAGGCCACATCTGGAGTATTACATTCAGTTGTGGGCTGCCCAGTTAAAGAAAGACACTACATTACTAGGGAAACTCCAGTGAAAGGCCATTAAGATTATTAGAGGAATGGAGCCCATGATGTTTGAGGAGAGGCTGAGAGAAGAAAATGCAAAGGACAGATCTTACTGCTTGTTGTCTTCAACTACCTATAGGAAAAATACAGAACAGGTAGAGCCAGATGTTTCTCAGAAGTGCATGGTGCTAGGATGCAAGGCAACAGACAAGTGTGGAGACAAAAAATGTCATGCAGATACAAGGAAAATCTTTCCTACCACAAGGACAATCGAAGTGATCAAACACTGAAAAAGGCTGCCTAGACATTCAAGGCCCCATGAGCCATTCAACACTTGATCAGATGCCTTCGCAACCTCCTCAAGGTACCTGATGTAACAACACCCATTTCAGGCAGGGATGTGGATTAAACAACTTCCGGAAGTCCATTCCAACCTACAGCATTCTATGATCCTCTGCTTTAAACATAACTTTAAAGAACAGGTTTGCCAAAGCTTATTCAAATGAACCAAACAAGACATCGCTTACAAAATCCAAACAAACAGGAAATCAGCTGCTTGATAAAGGAGCTCCCAAATCTGCAGATAACTATTATGAGTATTTAATCTGAGAAGCAGTTATTTTAAAAATAAAACATAGAAATGCTGTTTGAAGCTGAAAGTGTACTTATTTTTTTTGGTTGCAGTTGCCCTGTCACTGTGAAATGTCACGGGAACAGTTCCTTTTCTAACAACAAAAGCTTCATAGCTTTCCGAGTCATTGTCTCTTCAGCTGTGTTTGAAATTATAGACAGAGCCAACAATCTAAATGGGAGTTTTGTGACTGATTCTAAGCGGAAGAATATTGTTATGTTATAATAAATACCACTACACAATTTTACAAATGCTCAGAGAGAAAACATATCAAATAAATTTTTAAATATTATTTGTTTTAATAACCAGCTTCTAGATTGAAGACGGACCCAAGCATCTGATCAGTGTATCTGCCTAGGTTTTATCACTACCTTTTGTTCCCTTTTTTTTTTTTTGACATAGTTCTTCTTCCTCTATAAAAGTTCTGATTTGAACTAAAGATTGTTTCTTTGGTTTTGAGTCTTAAGAAACCCACTTAACAATGGAAAGGCTAACTTTGACAGAGAGTTAAGAAAGCTTTTAAGACTTTACACAAGATACACATCAGCTTAGTCTGCTTGAATCCTTATCACCACCTCCAACATCCAGCATTGTCTGAACTTTATGAGAAGAGGAGAGGAGATCCATTTGCTTTCCCCTACATATTAACATACTGAAGTGGATATTTAAACTTTTTCTCTCTTTGACTAAGCTTGCAGGAATAAAAAAGAAAAAGGAAACAAATATGACTCCAAAAATCTGCTTGTTTCCCATTTTCTTCAAAGTGACACTCTGGATTTATGTTTAAACCTTTCCATCACCAAACTAAGGAGCAAAACTGATTGTTACAGGCATTTATACACCTAGCAGCACCTGGGTTTATTTATTAAAACAAACTCCCCAAAGTGTTACTTATTATTTGTTTTGCAGTTCTCTCAGCAAAATCAAGGAATATCTAGCAGATTCTGTAACATTTGTTTTGGTAATACTACCTCAGAGTGCTGTTGGTTGGATACAAGAAGGTCAGAATCTCTGTCCTGTCTCAGTTTGGTCAGACCATATCTGAACATGTGGGGAGGGAGACCTGCCCTGAAGGACTTCCCTGACACAAGAAGGTCCCTCTCCAGCACTCTTCCACAGCAATTGTACCATCCTGCTGTGAAAAGCTCTACTAAAGTTACATAAATTGCATTTGGGTTACTGACAAT